CAAGGGGAGGATACCGGCAACAATGAGGATCCCGGTCCCTCCAGAAGCAGAGAGACAGTAGACCATCAGATAAGTGGTCCGCGGAGAAGTTTAAGGAACAGAAGGAATACGAAATTTTTTGTCAGCAACCATCAATTCTTTCATGGTCGCGCTGGTATGAAAACAGACTGTTCAAAGAGCTATAGAAGTGAACTGGTGAAGGCACCAAATGGAAAGGGTGGATGTGAATTCTAGAACTGTTTTGTGTCTCAGGAAGATGATGTAGACACAGTTGATAGGTGCAATAGGTATAACTGTCAATCGTATACGAATGGAACGTCGTGGACAGTGAGTGGAACAATAAATTTTTTTTACGATGATGCGATGGACATTTAGGAAGTGCACCTGCCAGGCGTTGTTTGTGGTTGAAAACACACAAAAAAAGCAGGGGTGGATGTAACTGGGGTAGGCCTAACTACCAGTTACAAATGATAACGAACGAGAAGCCGCGACGCAGTATGAAATCTGACGCAACCATAACAGGTGGCTTATTGGATCGGTCTGATAACAATCTCAAAGGCAACGCGTGCTATTTTGGGAAACGGTACGAGAAGTTTCAGACGAGCTGTCAACTTTGATGGATGGGACGCAGATGTTTTAGTGAATCGGACGGTACGTCAGAAACTGCGACAGTAGTATTCGGATACATCGATTACAAGTATCGATTACGGAAATGGAGACAAGTACGACTACGATTTCAAGGCATAAATAGGAGGGGACGGCAGAACTCGTGCTCTCTCTTCCCGTTTCGAGGCTCTTACCTCTTGCATCGCTCGCTTAGATCAGTCAGTCTGTGTGACTATGTCAAGTCGGTTATAGAACGGGTTAGCCGTATTGTGTTAAGAAGGATTATAGACATGTGGATTCAGTTATATAAAGCCTAGTGAAGGACTGTTAGGGGTCAGTTGATTCAGACTATTATTGAGAAGCATTCCTGTTGATTTATTGTGTTATTATGAAGCATTTCTTGATTCATGTAATAAAGGATCAATAGCGAACCTGCATCTTGAGTATCTATACTGTGGTCAATGTTGTCTAGAATGAGTGGTTAAACTCGTTAACACGTGGCACTACAGGCAATTAGGTCTCATTACATGTGGCGTTGCGAGCATGGTAACTGTTGGCTCGTTACAATTGGCGTTGTCGGCAGGATAAATGTTCGCTCGTCACATATATATATATATATATATATATATATATATATATATATATATATATATATATATATATATATATTCTACCTTTGACCTATTTATAAATCTTATCTGACTTTGCGTCATCACACAGTGGCGTCCTACGGACTGTCGTGTTCCGTTTGAACTCTAGATTTTCGATTGCTGTGGTGCGCTCTACGAAAGAATAAATTGTAGCAAAATGGCACATTCCCATTACAGACATAGTTAGATGGTGTCTATCCGTCTCAGATAATATGTCTAACGCTAATTCAGTGTTCCCCCCCCCCTAATCCACAAGTTCCACCCAAATCCATAGTATCCACCCTAATCCTAATCTTGATACTAATCCACACTATCTACCTAGATACTCTTTGTCCAACCTAACCCACAATGCCCACCCTAACCCATAATATCCACACCAACCCACAATATCCATTCTAATCCACAATATCCACGCTAATCCCAAGTATCCACTTGCAACAATGTTCACTCTTATCCCTAGTCTTTATCCTACTCCACATTTACTTGCTACCATTTGCAATCTGTAAGAAGTCAGCCTATCAGAGGCGTAGCGCGACCCTTCCCGGCGCCTGGGGACAAACTTTCGATTAGCACTTCCCCCCCCCCCCCCCCCCCCCAACTTTCGATTTGCACCCCCCTCCTCGAACTTTTGATTTACAACCCCTCTCCCCTCAAACTTTCAAATTGTTTTTCCAACCCATTTTGGCGCCCCCCTAAGGTCGGCGCCCGGGGACATATGTCCCCCCTGCCCCCCCACCCCTCGCTACGCCTCTGCAGCCTATTCCTTAGGGTTGCCAGGTGTCCAGTTTTGAACTGGACAGTCCAGTATTTGAGCAGACTGTCCAGGATAAAATAAATATAAATACTGGACAAGTATATGAATAATACTCTGTTACCCCCCTTCTTCTGCTTTGCGGCATACCTGAGAAGGGAATAGTATTCCTACAAATAACGATATTCTTGCTAGTCCAGCAAGTAGACGTAAGCCTATTTGATCTACCATCTACGTCTTAATCTTTCCAATTACCGCCACATTGTCCTGTTACCGCCGTCCCCACAACGTGAATGAACATTCAACCCCGTCATGTAACACGAAAACCTGTTTCAGAATTCCCAGCATTCCCCGCTGTGCACACACGATCACTTCCTCTTATCAACAATTAATCCCAGCATTCAACAGTACCTCGACCGGCCCTGACCGGAAACCGCTCGTGCCTCTAGCGGGCCCGCGGCAAACAATGGCCACCGGATTGACCTCCCCGTCCTCCATTTGCTTTCGCAATGTGTCGCGTTTTCCCACCAACATTCCTTCGAATCAGTGGGAATTTCTGCCGGTGGTATTTAATTGTCATGACGCGGAATTGATTAATCTAACCCCCCCCCCCCCCCCCCTTTTTCTCTTCCTACGCCTTTTTTTTTTCAACATACAAATGATACATTTTTTATTGTAGATTTCTCTGATGATTTGTTAAAAGGGAAACTATTAATGCAACTCTCCTTTAATTTTGTTTCAGCTAAATTTCCAAAGAACGTTTTGTATTGTTGTTGTTGTTCTTGAGTTGTACTTTAAATTTAGCATTTTGATTGTCACTTAGTTGAACATTAGCTGGTTGTGCTACATACTAGGCGACAAGGTTTACTGTTTGTCAATCATTTAGTCCTGGTTGCAGCTCACAAACCACATCAACTCTACTGCGTTTGTCTGGCATTTCTCCCTACCGGTATACAGAGGTAGCCACAACTAGCTACACACATGAGCTGCAAAGTTCCCTTTAAAGGGGAAAAGCTAGTGTGCAAAATGTATTTTCTGTGCGTGGTGTTCTAAAAGTCTTATACAAGGATATATTTATTTTACTAAATCACCGCACGGCAGCTCAAAACTACTGCGCGGCCGCGCACCCGCGCAGCTTAGAGGGAACATTGATGAGCTGTATATCAAGGTAGCCACATCTGGCTACACTTCGGGGTAGGAAAAACTAGCTTCTCATGAGTCATACATCGAGGTAGCCACAATTAGCTACACAGAGTCGTATATCGAGGTAGCTAAATCGAGCAACACACATCGAACCTTTAAGGTTTGGGACCACTATAAAATCAGATAAACCTTTCACCTTTTGTCCTAGATGTAGTAGATAAATAGCTAGCATAGAGATAACTAGATTATTATTAGGTCGCAATAATATAACCCACACTACATAATCTGAGGGGTATTTCGGGCTAAGGGTTTAGACCTGCTAATTAAGCATTTTTAAGGACATTTTTACAAACTTTAAACCCACCAGAAATGTTAGTATTTTAAAATATGGTTTAGATTAAATATTTGGGCCTGGTGAATATTAGTGTGTTGAAATTTATGGTCACCAGTTTAAGCCAGAGGCCTCAACGTGACCGCGAATTGATATATGAACCCCACATTCACTCACTTGTTACTTACTCGTTACAGGCTAATGCGCAACTAAAGTAGTCCAGTCAACAATGCCCCCCCCCCCCCCCCCCCACCCCCACCAGCGAACGCTAATCGTCCCCGCGGTACAAGCACACGAACGGCACGTTTCGCTCGAACTTTCACCAAACAAACGGTCGTCTGCGGGCCGGTCAATGTGAAGGTCAACCCAGTACTGGTCGCCTGTTGACCTTTTACACGCCGACCGTCCACTCCACGCCATACATTCATGTCGTGCCTGTGACATGTGACGGATACAGCACCGGGCAGACGTGACGTCGTCAGGCAAGGGGTCTGTGTGTGAGGTAACACACCCGCCCCTCCCTTCCCAGCGTCGAGAGCCCAGCGTAAGAAGGGAAACAATCCCCTAGATTCGCGTCTAGTCTTGCGTCTCCGGCTTATCTCCCCCTAACTCCAACACGATAATCACGTCCCCTCCTTAGCATTGTTATCAACAGCCTCGTTTTCAAGCCCTTCATATTATCTTGACCTAGTTCCTCGCATCGCACTGGGCTTTCGATTTCGTCGTTAATTCGGTACTGAGGTCCCCTGATTGTAAGGCGTGTTTAACCCTTTAGGGCTATCGCTGGGGGGAAAGTGAAGGGTTAAGTTAACCCTTTTCTTCCCAGGACATAGATAAATCCCCGACAAGATGGAGCTGATAAACGTAATTCATTGTCTTAATGGATGGCGGGTAGGAATGGGTGGGGAAATTCTGAGTGGGGGGGGGGGGGGGGTACGGATGGGCATTAATGTGTGTAGATTAACAGATACAGTTTATAAATTTAAAAAAAAACAACTTTTAAAGCAGTTGATAAAAATGATTTCAGATGCATTTCTGAATTCCTGTTTGATTGTGTGTGTTTTAATACAATTACACATCTCAAACACGAAGCAGTGAAACCACATGCTTTTTGTTGCCTTACAAAAATCTTTACAAAAATTGTCTCAGGGAGAAGCAGAAAATATCGTTTTAAAATGTAAATAAGTAGTTATCTTATAAACACACACGTATTCACACATACATATGTAGCCTATATATATATATATATATATATATATATATATATATATATATATATATATATATATATATATATATATATATATATATATATCGAACGTGAATTGGTACATTTTCTCATGATTATATATTTTTACCGGATTGTATTTTCTATCCGAAACCGTACGTAGGATACACATGCACCAACACGACGTCATCACATGTACTCACACTGGTCCACCAAATGCCTTAGTCTAACTCAAACTTCTGCCACACACAATATCTGTAACAGTACTGACTCTGGAATTTCACTCCTCAGAGCTCCAAACCTATCATGGAGAAGCGTCGACGTGCCAGGATAAATGCCAGTCTCGCTGAGCTCAAGACTCTTCTGCTAGAGACCATCAAGAAAGAGGTACGTCCAATTTTATTAAGCTCTAATGTATTGGTACCGTTCTATTGAGTTAAGCTCTAATGTATTGGTACTGACCTATTGAATTAAGCTCTAATGTATTGGTACCGTTCTATTGAATTAAGCTCTAGTGTATTGGTACCGTCCTATTGAATTAAGCTCTAATGTATTGGTACCGTCCTATTGAATTAAGCTCTAATGTATTGGTACCGTCCTATTGAATTAAGCTCTAATGTATTGGTACCGTCCTATTGAATTAAGCTCTAATGTATTGGTACCGTCCTATTGAATTAAGCTCTAATGTATTGGTACCGTCCTATCAAATTAAGCTCTAATGTATTGGTACCGTCCTATTAAATTAAGCTCTAATGTATTGGTACCGTCCTATTGAATTAAGCTCTGATGTATTGGTAATGACCTCTGGTTTTATGATATATATATATATATATGTCGCTAGCAATACCGATAGCTATACCGTTAGCCATACCGCTAGCTATGTCGCTAGCCATACCGCTAGCTATACCGCTAGATATACCGCTAGCCAAACCGCTAGCCAAACTGCTAGCTATACCGATAGCTGTACCGCTAGCCATACGGCTAGCAATACCGCTAGCTATACCACTAGCTCGACAGAAATTAATAAATTCTTAATCACAGTGTTCAAACCGCGCATAGCTCCCATGCATACTTTCAAAGCTCTCCTTAACCTTTAAGTCCTACTCCTTAACGGGAATTCCAGCTAATTATTTGCGTGAAAGAAAGGGAGGGGGAGTGAAGTGGAAAAGGGGGGGGGGGGGGGGCTTAGAGTAGACTAAACACAGCTGCAGATAACTCGCCGTCGCCATAAGGGAGATAATCGAGTTAATGGGACACACGCATTGCCGATCACAAAAATAAGCGCCGTGTCAAGTTTTTCCTCATTACAATCTTGACGCGCTCAGCGTAACACGAAAAGACCAACTCTTAACTTTGTTCATTTTTTTTCTCTTCTTCACACAAGATCTACTTTTTTTTTCTTTCTTTCTTTCTCTCCGTGTAAAAAAATACCTCGGCGTTCACAAGTGTGTGAGAAAAATTCCTCAAGGAGAAGATTACCTATGTCACCGTGAGTGATGAGTAACGCCCCCTGTCGTTTTACATGTCAATTACGATTATATAAATAAAATCTCGAGTAATTTCCCTTTCCTCAGCGTCACTCTTCTATTTTCAAGGGCTCTCAAAATTTCTACTTTCACATCTTGAATTATAACACTGGCAGAACTAATTGGGCACGCTTTGTTAATTGACGTCCCACTTTCCATACTTGTATCTAAATGAGCGTTACGGTGCCATTTTATATTCTGTTCAACCGTCGCTATTTCCAGGATCATCAATTATCTTCCCCTATTAACCCCTTAACCCTTTTCTGTATTAACCCTTTAACCAACTAGCAGATTAATCCCTTAACCGCCCCGAGTTTTTCACACAGCCAATATAATTGTCTATCCCGTGTGGACACCCACATGTTAAGAGTGGTGGCGTGAAGCTTGAAGTACCGACACCAAAAGTAGGTATGGGATCATCTGCTTCTCCGCCCCACCCACAGAATAGAGTCCTTTCATATGACGTCACGTCCGTTCGTGATACCTACGCCCGCCGCCACAGTGGTGTACATCAGACGTAAACACAATCAGCTGTTCGCCAGCGCTGGACGTGTTCACCAGCGCTGGACGCGTTCACTATATGTAAAGAACCGCACCCGCGGAAAAGGAAAAATATGTTAAAAAACTTGAACTCTTAGGAATTGAAGATCCTTATACTGTTATTGACAGTTTCGTAGATAATATAAATATGTGGACAAATTTTCTAAATAAAAATACTGTTAGTAATACTGTTTGCGTTTAGAGTTAAAGTAGACGAATCTGATGAAATGCAGTTCTCGATACTTTGTTTCAGGTAAGGACAGTAAAATAATAAACTTCATTTTAATTATAAAAGATAACTATTAATAAAACAAATATGCTCGACCTTCACAAATACTAATAGTAAAAGACAAAGTCAAAAGTAATAATAAGAATAATAAGATCTAATAGTAGGCCTAATACCTGGCTCCGCTGGGTAGACATAGAATCTAGAATCTACTTCTTTACTTAAATTTAATTACTTTAGATCTACATTCGATTCAAAATACACCCATAATAAATCAAAAGTAGTCATAATAGGCCTAATAAAGCATTTAATTGTCTCTAAGATCTAAAATCTCGCTCTATTATCTAATCATTTTTTTAGCAAACGAAATTTTCTGAAATTGAAATAGATTGTATGACTAGACTTAGATCTAGAATCTGCTACTTAAATTAAATTGTAAAAACTTTATACAAGCATGTAGTTGATATTATTGTAGTAGAAGGCTTTAATAAATTACTAAGGCCTACCTACTTTGTTGTCTTTTTACAGCAATATGTATCTGATACTGGACTGAGTTTAATTAAATTCAAATTCATATTTAGTAACTGGTCTACTAAGTTTTTGTAGCCTAGTAGTACAATCTAGATCATACCAGCCAACAACAAATAACCACATTATTATTATTTGGTTAATGATTAGGCTAATTTTTTTTTAAATCCACTTTTTATAAAAGAAACAAATCAAGCTAGAAACATTATAAGTGAGATGGTTTAGAATAATAACAATGGACCCAGTCTACAATTGATACAATTGCAGGTCTACATAGGGCCTACAGTCTAGTAGTTTACAGTAGGCACCTAGTGTGTAGCTAGTATACTAGTGTGTAGCTGTCCAGAGTTAAGATTCTTAATGCCTTAATGCTTTCCCCTGATAAGCCATGTGTGCTATAAATGACATAACATGACACCGAGGTGAGAAGTGTTGAGGGGAGAGCAGTGGGACTTTCCCCTTTGTTCTCCCTGCTGGGCCCTGAGGGTCAAAATTATATAAGAAATACTATCTCTGTGGGGCTGGGTATCACGGAGGTGAGACATTTTCAAGGGAGGGCAGGGCAGACTCCTCTTTGGTTTTATTGTGGGCTAGATACAGGTGGGGGCAGCCATCATGAGGGTTGAACGTCAGTATTAATGTGTCTGATTACTTTCCTGCTGGATTATAAGGGTCTTAAATTGTATAACATGCTACCCAGATTGGTTATTACCCATGGATTATATTAGCCGTTGTAGTGTGGGTTTTGTAGGAGTTAAGTGGTCTCACGTTTGCTACTGTAGATAACCTATAATATATTACTGCATTTGATCAGCTTCGTCTACTTAAACTCTAAACGCAAACGGTATTACTAACAGTATTTTTATTTAGAAATTTTGTCCACATATTTATATTATCCACGAAACTGTCAATAACAGTATAAGGATCTTCAATTCCTAAGAGTTCAAGTTTTTTAACGTATTTTTCCTTTTCCGCGGGTGCGGTTCTTTACATACAGTGAACGCGTCCAGCGCTGGTGAACACGTCCAGCGCTGGCGAACAGCTGATTGTGTTTACGTCTGATGTACACCACTGTGGCGGCGGGCGTAGGTATCACGTGATTTAGGTCACGTGTTTGCAAGGACTCTATACGACACAAAACAATGGGGGTGGTGGGGAGGAATGGTATCCAGTTTGTCAAAGATTTGAAAAGACCCGAGGATCGCTCTAGATACGGTCAGCGATGTAATTGATTTCAAAAGGCCTGGAATTCTGCCTGTAATTTCTTTCAGACGTAAAACGGATTTTTTGAAAGAAATGGAAACGCCGCTTCCTTGCTGCATATTTTCGGCAATTGAAAAGAAGGCGGCATAAAGATATGTGTGTGTGTGGGGGGGGGGGGGGGGTTCCGCATAAGTTAGTAGACTGAAAAAATGTCTGTCATTTTGGATGATAATAAAGCTATATGGACCAGACATCTTTGAGTACAAATATTTGTGTTCTATCTATAAAATACAACTAAGGTAGAAATATTTAATCTTACTTCATATAGGCTATCTTAAATTATACGGAGATATAAATTGATAAGGTAATAATTCATTAGCCATTATGATGATGTTGGAAAATTGTTTGGAAAAAATACATAAAGTGTACTTTTTATTTTAGAACCCAACATATTATTAAAAATAAAAACGTCATCTAGATGTGTAAGTCGAAATGTTGTAGTTGTATGTATAACACAACCTTTATCAAAAATCGCCTTCTCGTGGGTTAGGTCTCTTGAGTACACACAAAATAAAACTTTCGTAAGGTGTTCGGAAACCAAGCGAAGTTAGATAGTTAAATTCCATTTATATTTCCGACTACGGAAATTGTTTTCTATTCTCCAACCACTACCCACTGTTTGACATAACAAAGACAAATGCGGAAATTCCACAAATAACTAAAATACTCTTCGTATTAATCAGTCACGAGGGGATACGATTTGAATACCAAACACGGCATCCTAACTTGGTTAGCGTTTCACTGCCTTTAAAAAAAAAACAAAAAAAAAACAACCCACGATTCATTACATCGTCTCACCGTCTTCTTGTTATTCACCACAATGTAATCCATCCTGTGGCACTTTCCATCAATCTACCAGCATCTTCTTAATTCTGTACACGAGTAGCTCCTAAAGTCCCCACTGTCTTGTTCATGCCCCCCCCCCCCCATACACAGTCCCCACCGTCTTGTTCACCCCCCCCCCCCCCCCCGGCCCTGTCGTCCTCCCTCCCACAGTCCCCACCGTCCTTTTCATCCCCCGGCTCCATCGTCCCGTCTCCCCCTCCCCTTACTCCCCAACCGTCTTGTTCATCCCCCCCCCCCCCCAGCCTTCACCGTCTTGTCCACCCCCCCCCCCCCCTCACCATCCCATCTTACCCCCCCCCCCCCCAAACGTACATAAACAACCCCTAACCCATACGTCTTCCCGGTCACATGATCCTGCCCCTGACTTTAATTCCGAATCGTTAAACGATGGAGTTTCATCTCATTGAGTCCATTAGCGGACTGGGAGCGCGGCGGTGGAAGCCTGCTAATTCTTTAATTATTCATCGGGACAAAGGTTAGCACCTAGGCAGGTCGTCAGGTGAACAGCGAACACGACAAGGTGCTGTGTCAGTCAGTCATGAAATACTTGTAAATCCGGCTGCTCTGTCTTTGTTTGTCCTGTCAGCACTTGCATATATAGGATCTAGATTGTTCTATGCTTTTAGCACTAGAACACGTATGCTTTTGACTGTTGTATGACTTAAGCACTGGCATATGTATGCTTTAGACTGTTGTATGACTTTAGCACTGGCACATGTATACCTTAGACCAGGGGTTCCCCACCCCGTGCCCGCGGGCGCCATGGCGCCCGCCAAACGATTCGTATGTGCCCGCCTCTCTCTATTCGACAGAGACAGAATTTTTTTCATAAACATTATTGAAAGGTTGAAGGGGATGGAAATCGAAAGTTTGAGGGGGGAGGGGGTGCAAAACAAAAATTCGAGGGGGGGGGGGGGGTGCAAATCGAAAGTTTGAGGGGGGGGGGTGCAAATCGAAAGTTTTGTCCCCTGGCGACAGGAAGGGTCGCCTCTGGAAGGAGTTTGTCGATTTAAAATAGGTGGTGCCCGCCAACCTACCGATATTTTAGAATGTGCTCTAGAGTAAAAAAAAGGTTGGGAACCCCTGCCTTAGACTGTTGCATGACTTTAGAAATGGCACATGTATGCTGCAGACTGTTGTAAGACTTTAGCACTGACACGAGTACCCTGTAGACTATTCTATACCTTTAGCCTTAGTACGCCTATTCTGTAACCTGTTCTATGATTTTAGCACTGGCACATGCATGTTTTTATATGCTTTTAGCATTGGCCCATGTATTTTGTAGACTGCCTTTAGCATTGGTAGATGTATGCTACAGACTGTTCTATACGTTTAACATAACCACATATATTCTGTATACTACTTTATGCTTTTAGGACCACCACATATACTGTCGACTTCTCTTAATACCGTTACACATATGTTGTATGCTGTTCACTGGTAGTTATGTTCTTTTTGTGTTTTAAAAATACCTATTTCGGCTAGAAATGGGTCTCACCACACTATCCCTTCATTTGCTGAGCAGACAGAAACTGGTGAACTCTACTTCACCTGCCTCGTGTCCCGCCAAGTCCCAATAGGCAACTTTATCATTCACATTTAAAAAAAAAATGAACAAAAAATGAACAAAACAATTAAAACTGTTTTGGCTCAGGTTCGTGCTATAAACTTCAGCCTGTCAACCGAGCCTGAGACTTTTGAAACAGTATCGTGCGTACTAACGACTAAACACACCATAACCAATGAAGGAAAATATCACATGTATCAAACCAGGACTAAACTACAACAAGTCAACAGCCATTTCTAAGCTTGTAATGAATATTTACCCAGCTTTTAACACACGTTTCTATTCATATTAAAAGAGAACTTCATTTCATAAATGCATTTTTAAATTCACAAGTAACATTTAAATTTTTTTTACAAGTCCTATTATAATTGCAGTTAATTTACTTAATGAACCACATTTTGATGACCTCCGTCATAAATCAACGAACCAGCTACCCACGTGATACTTTCTTTCATACACCCCCCTGGTGCCATCTCCAACTGACGCGTGATCCTCAATGCACTTAGCACCTTACTGATCAAAAAATGACGTGCTAAAAATTTTTAAAAGGGGGGGGGGGCGCAACCGTTTTATTTATAATTTTAATCCACACTATTAGGCAACAAAAAGCAGCCAGATTTTTTTTTTTATCTGATTGCATTTGTCCTTGCATGGCAGGGGAGACAATACCACGGGCTGCCACATTGACAATTTTATAGACGCGGAATAAAGAAATATGTGAACGGCATGGGAAATAACTCCCCGTGTCAGGGAAGACAACTGTATTAAATCAAATACCAAATACACTTTTTTGAAACCTGTCCGCTGGTGATATTTTATTTTTTTATTTTTTTTCAATTTTTCACGATAACGCCAAAAGGATTTTCTTTTTTTCTCTTATGTATTTTAAATTAGGGCAAATTGTGATTGCGGAGCGTACTTATAATTTTTGAATACGTCAAAGGTTAAAAGAAAATACCCCGCCATTTTATAATGTAGTAACATTTTCGACATTTGTCATAGTTGTCTGTGTGTCTGAGCACGTCAGCTCTAATGTACACGGTCTGAATGTTCAAGGAAAATCAGACTTTCAGACTAAGCATATATTTTTAAAAATTGTATAGTGTTGATTAAGCGCGCTTCTTTATAACGTAAAGTATAAATTCTCACTGTTACATGACTGTATCAGTCAACCATAACCTTTTAACTTCTGCGGAATAGTTATTGCCAGGCTGTTAGCCAGAATCATGTTGCAATCACAATAACACATCTTACATAGTGCTGTTGCTGTGAACATTAGAATCAACATAGTTCCTGTACTAAACACGAACCCTCCCTAAATGTATCTGATTCTAAGATTGTCCATATACTTATGTAGCGTGGCCTGGGGGTAGAGCGCTAGAGTCCAAAGTCTCGCGTTCGAAAACGGGCTTAAGTTCTGTAGAAAATTCCTGAGTCCACCCAGCTCTTATAGTATCTAACTTACGTTGAAAAATGTAATGGCGACTTGGCATAGTGCTGATCACCCTATCGCTTTATATGCCGCGGTCACAGAAAATGATGAACTCTACTTCACTTGCCCAATGGACCGTCAGGTTCAAAAAGGGAACTTTATACTTATGTAAAGTAAAATTTATATAAGTATATAGGCCTACATCCCCACGTTAGTAGCGCCTCTGCCATACTTCATCGAATGATACACTGTGAACACCCATGATTTGACACTTCCAGTTTGAAGAGGATGCTACATTACTCGAACCTGACACACGTCACCCAACTGCCACCATTGAACCTGGCATTTCACCCGGCATTCATTACAGTTTCAACCTTATATGTAACGACACCGCTGTAACTTTGTAAAGAAAGATGTCTCCCCTTTTCTTTCGTTTTATCATGACTCGGTTTTTTTCGCTTCTGACACGCGGTTCGGATTTCGAATAAGAGAGAGAGAGAGAGAAAAATGCGTAGTCTCGTTTTCAGTTGTTTTAAGCATGCGTGACGGGGATCATCGTCTCGGCGCGCAGCTCCCGTGCGCATCGTTGACAAAATGGCGTCTTCGCTTCTAGGTGACAACATTTTAACGAGGGTGTCAACACAATTCTTGAGTCTAAGTATCGCGTTTATGCCTGAAAGCATATATATATATATATATATATATATATATATATATATATATATATATATATATGTATATGTATATGTACATATATACATACATATATACATATATATATATATATATATATATATATATATATATATATATATATATATATATATATATATAGTCAAAGCCCGAGCAAAGTGGGATGATTACTGTAATACTAATACTTATCCTATACATTTATATATATATATATATATATATATATATATATATATATATATATATATATATATATATATATATATATATATACTTTGCTCGGGCTTTGACTAATAGGTCTACAATTATAAAGTAGCTTTTATCGTAAGATGAAAATACGTTATGGCATGTAATATATTACTGGATTGCGTTCGGAGGTTCGTGACAATCGTCTCGTAACACGTGGATTGCTTGCGATGATTCGCGACAATCATTCATCACGTGACCTCGGCTCAGGGTGTTCCAGTCTAGAGGTGGGTGGTCGGGGTTGTGGGTAACCCTAACCCAAGATACGTAACCCTAAACCTCTACTTGTTGAACCTGGCCAGCTCGTGGTGAAACAATACTCACAGGTGATATTCACCGGAGTCTTCACTTTGTCTGGCATTTCTTTAACGTTCTGAGTTCATTTCTCTAAAGTTGTAGGTTTATTTCTTTAACGGTTCTAAATTCATGTCTTTTGGGGTTCTAAATTCATTTCTCTAACCTTCTGAGTTCATTTATTTAACTGTTCTAAATTCATGTCTTTGACGGTTCAGAATTCTTTAAAGGTTCTATTTTTTTTTCTTTTACGTTGTCCTAAATTCATTACTTTAAACATTCTAAACTGATTTCTTTAAGGGTTCTAAATTAATTTCTGTAACGGTTCTTTTATTTTTAAACTGATCGAAACTCCTTTGAGTAAGGGTTCTAACTTAATTTCCTTAACGGTTCTACATTCATTTCTTTAAAGGGGTGCCACTAAAACGTAACAGAAAATGCAAACACCGAGAAAAGAATGTAGAATTTTGATTAAGTTTGATTGTTTCACTATTTTTCTAGTAAATTTAAAAAAAAATTAAATTGCAATTAACTTTCTTATAAGAAATGTTAACTATTTTGATTTTTGATTTCTGAAGGCTTTTCTATCCACTGAGCCACTAATCTTCCATCGTTTAATCAACGACATCACTATACCAAATACTATACTGAAATAGCTTGATAGCAAACACGCTTTTTCTTCAATGCTACACACACACCACACACAAAAAAACGATATATTTAACCTCGTCAGGTAGTTATTACTTATTACACGTTATCTCAGTAAATAAAATTTATTTATTTTTGTTTCTACTCTAGGGTGCTAGGCACAACAAGATGGAGAAGGCAGACATCTTGGAAATGGCCGTCAAACATTTGAGGCAGATACAGAGACAACAACTTAGTGGTAAATATCTTTGTAAACATTTGAACTACAGATACAAAAACTTAGTGGTAAATATCTTAGTAACCATTTGAGATACAGATACACAAACTTAGTGGTAAATATCTTAGTAACCATTTGAGATACAGATACATAAAGTTAGTGGTAAATATCTTAGCAAACATTTGAGATACAGATACATAAAGTTAGTGTTAAATATCTTAGTAAACATTTGAGATACAAAGACATAAACTTAGTGGTCATTACAGCTTGATCTCTAGAATGGTCAGCTTGGCGATAAAACCTAATTAGTGTCATCATTTACACCTGCAATTAAAAATGGTCAGTTATCTATCAGTTTTTTTATAATGAGTGACATTAAACATGAAACATTTTAACCAATCCAGACGTCATCTTTCGTTAAGTGTACTTTAACAACGTCACTGAGCACAAAGGCTAACATTGTATGTTCAAGTCCTTATAGTTTAGGAATATCGCACTTCTAAAACTTGTATTAAACTACCGTATTTTCACTGTGACATTTTTTCAAATCATGAAAGTCTTCTAAAAAGTAGGATATTTTTATACCCCAGGGGTTGTCTGATACGCCGAGTGTTGTAAATATAAGGTGAGAAAATTCCATACATTATATTTTAACTGGAAAGTTGGGCAGTAAGTCAAGTTCCCTCTCAACCCTGACGGGGGAGGGGTTGTCTTATCGGTCGCCTCATAAGCCTGAAAATACGGTCCATATTTTCTGAAATATTTAACATTTCTAAACATAAAGCTTGGTGTAAGCTGTTTAATATGTAAATGATTAAGTCTATAATACAATGAAGCTTGGTATAAACTGTAATAAGCTGTCTAAAAAATAAAGCGTTTCTCATCGGGTATATTTAAAGTAGTGTAGACATGTTAATTGAGACAAAAGCCTCCAGGCCTATACCAAGTACTTGATAATCCCCATTTTAATAAACTCGTGAGTCAGGGGGTATCGCGTGCTCGCGGCCCCGCCCCTCAGGCGCCCTCCTTACCGAGGAGAAGGGTGGTCCAGAGGGTCGAGTTTAGTGTCGTTGACACCTCTCAGACGAAAAATATCATCTATCACATTTGACTCAGTATCGCTTTACTCTTTTTTTTTTACAGGCGAGTCGTCATCTGAACCGACAGCAGTCAGCAAGTACAGTCTGGGTTACCACGCATGCGCGCAGGAAGTCAGCAAGTACCTGGGTGACAACAGCGACGAGGCAGTAGAGTTGAGGACCAAACTTTTGAACCACCTGGCCAACTGTATTACAAATCGGGACTTCCCGACGCAGCCGAATACGCAGGCGTCGACATCATACGCTTCCAGTCTCTCACCCCAGTCGTCTGTCTCGGTCGCCATGTCGCCGCTGTCCTTAGGCTCACTATCGCCTTCCTCTACCACTCTCTCCCCTGAAGGACAGCTTAATCTGAAAGTAGAAGCAGAGGCCATGTTAACTTCAACACGAAAAAACCTTCAGTTTCTGAACATCCCGACCAGCGAAGCCAACCCAAAAAATATCTCTTTCCAACCACTCGAAGAACTAACGCGAAGCTTTTTGCTTCAAAACGAAGATCAGCGTTCGAAACCAACGGTTGACTTCAAATCTTCATTTCATTCTGTTAAACCTTCAACTTCATTTCAAACGCAACAGAACGAGGTTAAACCCAGCACTGGTGATCACAACAACAACAGAGCAACAGTTTTTGAAGTAAACAACAGCGCAGGTTCTTCTGAAATTAACAATAACACAGTCACAGTTCCTGCCGTGGTTAGTTTAGGTCAGACATCTTTACCCAGCATTCAACAGCATCAACCACACATGCAGCTTTCACAGCAACATCTACAACAACTTTCACAAACGTCTTCATCTCAACATCAACCGCAGCATCCACCACAACCTTCTTCATCCCAGCAACAACAAGCTGCCTTTCAGGAGAACACGACTGTAGTCTCCGGCATGAATCAGTTTCACCTGATCCCCACGCGAACATCAACCGGAGAAATCGCTTTCGTCCTCTCCACCGCCAACATCATCAGCCCCGCCCAGCTCACCAACTGCGCCATTCCCGTGATCACCTCCACCCAAAACCACGCCCACCTATCTATCCCATCATTCCAGACACAATCTGTCCAATTAGCAATGACCTACCCTCAAGCAGAAAAACAACCTGTCCATTACATTATCGAACAACCCAAATCCCAGAACCAACCCATCAGCTCGAACGAAATATCTCAAACGTCACAACCATCAAGCAACCCACACGCCCAATCCACGCCCCTAAATTTGACATCATCCAATCAACACGTAGCAGCGATGTCAAACTACACCCCAACGTCAAAATCAGAATTCTCTAAAGTCACTTCCTACGTCAGCAGCTCTGTTGTAACTCAGCCACCTCAAAACACCAACCCCGACCATGCAACTGCAATGGACTCATATCCACCTTCAAGCACCTTCTTCAAACCCAGCTCCATGTACACCGGAAGTGTAGCACCACCCCAGTCATCATCTACCACATCGTTCAAACCATTTTCTGACTCACCCAGCCACCTACAATCTTCTACCTCCGTGGCTGTGGTTAAACCCCACACCAACGAAGTCAACACCAGGAACTTTAGACAGCACGATAAACATTTCACCTACAGTCAAAACGATGTCATGGACAGTGGTTTTCCCGATTCTTCACACTCAGAAATCGGGAAAATCCAACATCGAAGAGACAGTAATTTATTTCGGCCGTGGGACAAATAAACAGTCACGAATTCAGAACTATGTATAAATATACACATATTCATCATTCCTAAACAATCGATAGTACTTTCGTATTATAAATTGTACTTTCGTATTATAAAGTGCATATACATTTTAAAATATAATATGTGTATTTCTTTGACACTTGACTCCTAACAAAAGTTGTTACTATTTCTAATACTTTGTAACGATGTACGTTACAGTCATTTATATATCAGTCTAATGATATACATTCTATACATAATTTACAACTTTTTAATACCGAGTTACAAGATCATTCCACAACAGCCGTTGGTGCCTATTGTTGATTTTGATATTTGAAATCGTATTTTTTGGAAAGAACACTATAGAACATTAAATAGTTACTTCAATTTTGCCGCACTCCTTATTAAAAGCATACTCTCGAATTAAAAACCTAAAACCTAAGCGCAGCGGGAAAACCCAAAAATAACATATAATTTCATATGTGTACTAGTCATTGCTGTCTGTTTTCTTCATGATGACATTTTATAACAAAGCTGTCCAATCCTTGTCTAATGGATGATATATTTGAAACATTCCTATCTGTTCTGATAAATGTAATACTGAATGTTGTTCTTCTGTTGATAACGTTCTTCCAATCTAAAGTCTTGTTATAGTGATATGTCCATTCCATGTGATCAATGTTATATACACACATTTTAAAACTATAATTTGTGACTATGTATACGCCTGTTGTAGATATCAATATACACTATTTTTTTTATGATTATAGCATTAACTAAATGATAATCTTGTATGTTGAGTACTGGTTTTATAAAGAAATTTAAACAGAGAAAATTGTGAACGTGTAATGGGAAAAGCAAATGTAAACAAAATGTATCTTGAATGTTTTTGCTGATAGCTGTGATGTACAACGTGCTGTAGACAACTGTGAAAGTGGTTTAGAGGGAGATAACTATTACATACAACATGTTGTCACAATGGCCTTATTATTTGTGCCTTCATTTTTAGCCATACCACGAAAACTGAACATTTCTAAAACGTGTTCCAATTTCGTTTTCTTATTTCAATATGCATTCCAGCAAGGTATAAAATACACATACACATACATGAACCCATTGACATGTTATAATATTCGGATAAACATGCACACCAGGTAATACAGACTGACGCTGTCATATCATAACATACAGAGTATTATACACACATATTCACATACTACCCTCCACCACACAAACATAAACTGTTACAGACAGACATACAGTTATGTAGATTTACAGAAACATGTAAATTATAGATATATTAACAGCATGAGAAAAATACACCACCACACGAAGACTGTTTTAATCTACCCCATAGTAAGAGCCACTAAAGATGAATGTTAAAACTGTAATGTATTGACGTTCATGGGCAGCATTTCAGTACAAGGGCAGTTTATATATATATATATATATATATATATATATATATATATATATATATATATATATATATATATATATATATATATATATATATATATCTTCATAAGCATTCCAATATTCATTAACCTAATTAACTCATGATATTCCATCAAGTTATTCCTGAACATGTGAAGTATTTGCATTAGCTCTACCCAAATGTGAGGAACACAAATTCCTCTATTGGTTTTGAAAATGTATGTAGATTTCTGTCTATGGAAATATACGAAGGATATTTTATCAAACACTGTGTTGTGTCGTTATTTCATTTCTTACGATTGAGGTTATCTAGATTGTGCAAAAGGAGTGACCGGATCAAATTATGTTGTGTCGGTGTGTGATTGTTGATGTATGAGTTTATGTAGAGCGCATTGGCGGATTAATCTTGAGCATATATATATATATATATATATATATATATATATATATATATATATATATATATATATATATATATATATATATATATATATATATATATATATATATATATATATATATATATATATATATATATATATATATATATATATATATATATATATATATATATATATATATATATACATATATATATACATATATATATATATATATATATATATATATATATATATATATATATATATATATATATATATATATATATGTGTGTGTGTGTGTGTGTAGCCCTATATATATACATTTCCTTAGATATTTAAATACACTACTATTTAAATTAATATAAAGAAAAGCGTGGGTCTCATAGACCACCACCCTCACACAACCCCACTCCACCACTCCACCACCCTCACACAACCCCACTACTCCACTCCACTACCCTTACACAACCCACTCCAACACTCCACCACCCTCACATAACCCCACTCCACCACCCTTACACAACCCCACTCCACCATCCTCACACAACCTCAATCCACCACTCCATAACCCTCACACAACCCCACTCCACCACTCCATAACCCTCACACAACCCCACTCCACCACCCTCACACAACCCCACTCCACTCTCCACCATCCTCACACAACCTCAATCCACCACTCCACCACCCTCACATAACCCCACTCCACCACTCCACTACCCTTACACAACCAACTCCACCACCCTCACACAACCCTAATCCACCACTCCCCCACCCTCAAATACCCCACTCCACCACTCCACTCTCCACCACCCTCACACAACCCCACTCCACCACCCTTACACAACCCCACTCCACCACCCTCACACAACCCCACTCCACTCTCCACCATCCTCACACAACCTCAATCCACCACTCCAACACCCTCACATAACCCCACTCCACCACTCCATAACCCTCACACAACCCCACTCCACCACCCTCACACAACCCCACTCCACCACCCTCACACAACCCCACTCCACTCTCCACCATCCTCACACAACCTCAATCCACCACTCCACCACCCTCAAACAACCCCACTCCACCACCCTCACACAACCCCACTCCACCACCCTTACACAACCCCACTCCACCACCCTCACACAACCCCACTCCACTCTCCACCATCCTCACACAACCTCAATCCACCACTCCACCACCCTCACATAACCCCACTCCACCACTCCACCACCCTTACACAACCAACTCCACCACCCTCACACAACCCTAATCCACCACTCCACCACCCTCACATAACCCCACTCCACCACTCCACCACCCTTACACAACCCCACTCCACCACCCTCACACAACCCCACTCCACTCTCCACCATCCTCACACAACCTCAATCCACCACTCCAACACCCTCACATAACCCCACTCCACCACTCCATAACCCTCACACAACCCCACTCCACCACCCTCACACAACCCCACTCCACCACCCTCACACAACCCCACTCCACTCTCCACCATCCTCACACAACCTCAATCCACCACTCCACCACCCTAACATAACCCCACTCCACCACTCCACCACCCTTACACAACCAACTCCACCACCCTCACACAACCCTAATCCAACACTCCACCACCCTCACATAACCCCACTCCACCACTCCACCACCCGTACACAACCCCACTCCACCACCCTCACACAACCCCACTCCACTCTCCACCATCCTCACACAACCTCAATCCACCACTCCAACACCCTCACATAACCCCACTCCACCACTCCATAACCCTCACACAACCCCACACAACCCCACTCCACCACCCTCACACAACCCCACTCCACCACCCTCACACAACCCCACTCCACTCTCCACCATCCTCACACAACCTCAATCCACCACTCCACCACCCTCACATAACCCCACTCCACCACTCCACCACCCTTACACAACCAACTCCACCACCCTCACACAACCCTAATCCACCACTCCACCACCCTCACATAACCCCACTCCACCACTCCACTCTCCACCACCCTCACACAACCCCACTCCACCACCCTCACACAACCCCACTCCACTCTCCACCATCCTCACACAACCTCAATCCACCACTCCAACACCCTCACATAACCCCACTCCACCACTCCATAACCCTCACACAACCCCACTCCACCACCCTCACACAACCCCACTCCACCACCCTCACACAACCCCACTCCACTCTCCACCATCCTCACACAACCTCAATCCACCACTCCAACACCCTCACATAACCCCACTCCACCACTCCATAACCCTCACATAACCCCACTCCACCACCCTCACACAACCCCACTCCACCACCCTCACACAACCCCACTCCACTCTCCACCATCCTCACACAACCTCAATCCACCACTCCAACACCCTCACACAACCCCACTCCACCACCCTCACACAACGCCACTCCACCACCCTCACATAACCCCACTCCACCACCCTCACACAACCCCACTCGACTCTCCACCATCCTCACACAACCTCAATCCACCACTCTATAACCCTCACATAACCCCACTCCACCACCCTCACACAACCCCACTCCACTCTCCACCATCCTCACACAACCTCAATCCACCACTCCAACACCCTCACATAACCCCACTCCACCACCCTCACACAACCCCACTCCACTCTCCACCATCCTCACACAACCTCAATCCACCACTCCACCACCCTCACATAACCCCACTCCACCACTCCACCACCCTTACACAACCAACTCCACCACCCTCACACAACCCTAATCCACCACTCCACCACCCTCACATAACCCCACTCCACCACTCCACTCTCCACCAACCTCACACAACCCCACTCCACTCTCCACCATCCTCACACAACCTCAATCCACCACTCCAACACCCTCACATAACCCCACTCCACCACTCCATAACCCTCACACAACCCCACTCCACCACCCTCACACAACCCCACTCCACCACCCTCACACAACCCCACTCCACTCTCCACCATCCTCACACAACCTCAATCCACCACTCCAACACCCTCACATAACCCCACTCCACCACTCCATAACCCTCACACAACCCCACTCCACCACCCTCACACAACCCCACTCCACCACTCCACCACCCTCACATAAACCAATCCACCACTACACCACCTTCACACAATCACACTCCATCACCCTAACACAACCCAACTCCACCACCCTCAAACAACCCCACTCCACCACCCTCAAACAACCCCACTCCACCACCCTCAAACAACCCCACTCCACCACCCTCAAACAACCCAACTCCACCACCCTCAAACAACCCCACTCCACCACCCTCAAACAACCCCACTCCACCACCCTCAAACAACCCCACTCCACCACTCCACCACCCTCACACAACCCCACTCCACCACTCCACCACCCTCACACAACCCCACTCCACCACTCCACCACCCTCAAACAACCCCACTCCACCACCCTCACACAACCCCACTCCACCACCCTCAAACAACCCCACTCCACCACCCTCAAACAACCCCACTCCACCACTCCACCACCCTCACACAACCCCACTCCACCACTCCACCACCCTCACACAACCCCACTCCACCACCCTCAAACAACCCCACTCCACCACCCTCACACAACCCCACTCCACCACCCTCACACAACCCCACTCCACCACCCTCACACAACCCCACTCCACCACCCTCACACAACCCCACTCCACCACCCTCAAACAACCCCACTCCACCACCCTCAAACAACCCCACTCCACCACCCTCAAACAACCCCACTCCACCACCCTCAAACAACCCCACTCCACCACCCTCAAACAACCCCACTCCATAACCCTCACACAACCCCACTCCATCACCCTCACACATTTTTTTCATTCTGCGACATGAGTAAGGTTTAGGGATAAAGTTTTAATTAGTGCTGAAATTCGAACATTTTCTGGATAAAGTAAGCTAGTTCTTTCGTTGATTAGTGCTAGAATTAGGACATTTTATAGATAGAATATGCTGGTTTTACGGATTGCCTAATCAAAGTAAAAAAAAAAAAAAAAACAAGTCAGTTTTTTATTTGCTGCTAGAGATGTAGTTAACGTGACACTATTTGTCATATAAATTAATTGATGCATATCTTGTTTCCTTTGCAGCTTTTTCTATCCATTACTCTTAATAGGAAAAATGATGCTCATTGAATTAATGCTTCTGACTGGCTTACTAATGATGCTCCTTCGTTCTTTTGAACTTTTTGTATTAGGTAAGTAAAATATTGGGATACCGTCATTTAGTCTTTTCTTTTTCTTGAAGTATCGTAAACTGTAAAACATGAATGAATTAATTATGCACTCAAATCAGAATACTCAAAATCAGATTCACACTCATGCTCACAAGATCACATTCACACTGTCACAACAACAACCACAGCCACAACCACAGCCACAAACGCAATCATAATCACAATCACAAGCAGAACAGCAAACGCTATCACAACCACAACAACCGTAATCGCAACCTCAGTCAAAAATAACTGACACAATCACTATAGCAATCACAATCAGAATCAGAATCGCACTCGCAATTGCACAGTCAAAACACACTCACAATCACACACACACACACTCAAAATTAATTTAAAATTCAAATTCAAACTCACACGCACACTCTCACTGTCACTCTGACTCATAATCACATTCACACACTCACATTCACACTCACATTCATACTACACATGTCTTACTTGTCTTACTAATGATGCACCATGGTTTATGTCAACTTTATGAATTTGGTAAGTAAAATATTGGAATACCGTCAGTTAGTTTTTCTTTTTCTTGAAGTATCGTACACTTTAAATGTTATTTTTA